ACCTTGTCCCATTGGAAAGTCTTCAAGGCAAAAACATGCATGGAGCCATCATCTCCTATGACACCAATGCCTTCTTCTGGATACCTCCTGAAGGACCTGCCTGAGGCTGGTTTACAGTTAACTTTTTTTTACTAAGTAGAAGTCCACAAAATAACAACAAAATGTATAGTAAATACTAGGCAATAGGAAATTGTCAGACCACTCTCACATATGTGACATTGACCAAAACGTCATTATGCGAGGCATAACTGCACTTATTTTGAGACTCCGTCTCTACATACATAGTTCTCAGTAGCATCATTTGTTAAATAAGGATGCCGACATCTTACCTGCCAGAACACAAGGAGTTTAGCCAATTGCTGTTTTGAAGCTTCGTCTGAAAATAAGTTCTGTGATTCTGTTTATAAGTCAGTGACCAGTGACCCTGGTGACTGGAGGGAGCCCACAATGTCTAGCATCCATTTCTGAATCATGACGAAAAGCAAGTGGCCAAAGGGGAAATGGGGCAGGGAAAGGAAGCAGATACAGGACCAGTAGTCATAAAAGAGGCTGTACGCACCATGTTAGTCCCTGCCTACCTTCTACAGCTAAATGTCAGTATTTCATTCATTGCCCAGCCACAGTTCTCTCTTCCTGCTTCTACTTGGTATGAACATTTGAAAGCTGATTGCAAAGTCTTGGCTCAAGAGAAGCAGCCGGTGAACTCTGGTTTTGAAAGAAAAAATGGATTCTGAATGGCTAAAGCATCTGGAATTTTAAAAATTACGTGATTGTTGCACAGAAGTCATTCGTTAAGGAATTTTTACCACAAAGTCATTAAAGTTAGGAACTAACAACGGAAGACTCCTCGAGGCTAAAAGTCTTGTATTACTAAATGGTGCTGACTGAAAAATGGCTCTTCACCGGTGGTTCCAGCTGTGCCAGGAGGGGACCCTCCTCAACCCAGGGTGGCTGCCAAGGGAATCTCTGGCAGCAGTGGGGTCTGCTTGGGTTGCATGAGAACACAGCATATAAAATGAATCACCATCATTATTATCAAAAGAATGATTGTGGCCAGGTGCAATGGTTCACATCTGTAATCCTACTACTTTGGGAGGTCAAGGCTGGAGAGTTGCTTGAGGTCAGGAGTTCAAGGTCAATCTGGCCAACATAAGGAGACCCCATCTTTTTTAATTAAAAAAAGAAAAAAAAAAAAAAGAATGCAATCTAATTCCCTATCTAATGACCCTAACCTAAAGATCGAGCTTAATTTTTGTACTCAGAAAATGAGGTATATTGTTTGCTAGCTCAGAAACTTTGTGATGGCGGGTCTTAAATCTGTTGTTTAAAGGACCAGGTGGTGCGGTCTCAGAAACTTTGTGCACTGTGGTCTTTAAGTCTTGTTTAAAGGGCAGGGCGCAGTGGCTCATGCCTGTAATCCAGCATTTTGGGAGGCTGAGGCAGGCGGATCACAAGGTCAGGAGATCGAGACCATGCTGGGCCAATATGGGTGAACAACACGTCTTTCTATAAAAATACAAAAATTAGTTGGACATGGTGGGGGGCACCTGTAATCCCAGCGTCCCAGAGGGCTGAGGCAGGAGAATCCCTTAAACCAGGAGGCAGAGCTTGCAAGTGAGGCCGGAGGATCGTGCCACTGCACTCCAGCCTGGGACAGAACGGAGACTTGTTTAAAACTTGTCTAGGCGGCGCAGTGGGCTCAAGCCTGTATCCCGAGCACTTTGGAGGCCGAGACGGGGCGGATCACGAGGTCAGGAGAGATCGAGACCATCCTGGCTGACACGGTGAAACCCCGTTTCTACTAAAAATACAAAAACTAGCCGGCGGAGGGTGTGGGCACCTGTGAGTCCCAGCTACTCCGGAGGCTGAGGCAGGAGAATGGCATGAGCCTGGGAGGCGGAGCTTGCAGTGAGCTGAGATCCGGGCACTGGCACTCCCAGCCTGGGCCGCAGGAGTGAGAGTCCGTCTCAAAAAAAAAAAAAAAAAAAACTTGTCTAAAGTTCACCATTGTACCGTCTCTTTGCTCTGAAGGTCCTGCATCAAACTTTAACCAAAACCACAATACAATTCAAACATCAACAATTTAGTCTCTAATCCTTCGCCAATCAAAATTTTTAGATTTTAAAAAAAAGAAAAAGTTTTAATGAGCATAATAAATTGGCTTTTTTTCTACATTAATGTCATAATGTTTGAGCAATTAGCAAGTGCTATTTTTGTCATTTAACAAAAAACAACAATAGTTTGCATCTCACTTTTGAAATAGACACAAATGGATGCATGCAGCATAGAAATGGGTTACAAGGACAGAGACACCAAGCTATTTGTCTACCTTGGTGAGATTACAGTCGTTTTTAGTGTTCATTTACTTGTTTGTAATTTTCTGTGCTTCCTGTAATGAGCATGCATTGCTTTTGGAAACACAAAAACCAATAAGATAAACAATTTAGGAAACAAACTAGGAATTGTTTGTGCAGCACAGAAACAGAGCCTTCACGCTCCTCTCAGAAGTTTCTGCTTTCTTCTGGAGGCATCTTGGGTGGGCAATGAACTTCCTGCAGAAAAGTCCTGGGGCCCAGCCCTGCAAAGTAGCCATGACACCCAAAGCCTCGATTTCTGTTTACGCCTCATGTGCTATTCTAAGGGTTCTGGCAAATGAGTGTTGAAACAAAACAATTCAGATACCACTTTGAGATTTGCGATGAGATCTTGCAACCTGTTCTTTCAATGTTTTAATAACTTTTCTGCAAATTGTCATCATTTGTTTTACAAGAAGACAAAGTATATTTTATAAAACAAGGCTGAAGGAAATTAAAATTATGCCAAAGCCTCTTTTGCTAGGACTAACAATTCACTCTTACATTTCGGGTCTACAGATATGCAGGATGGAGTTTGGGCCTGGTGGCTCATGCCTGTAATCCTAGCGCTTTGGGAGGCCAAAGTGGGAGGAATGATTGAAGCCAGGAGGTGGAGACCAGCCTGAGCAACATAGCAAGACTCCGTCTCTAAAAAAAATAATTAGGTGGGCATGGTGGCATGCACCTGTAATCCCAACTACTCAGAAAGCTGGAACAGGAGGATCACTTGAGCCCAGGAGTTCAAGGCTACAGTGAGCCATGATTGTGCCACTGCACTCCATCCTGGGTGACAGCGCAAGACCCTGTCTCTTAAAGAAAAAAAAATTACCTAAATTCTAATACAGGTCTGTTCTGAATCACAGCTCCACGCTATAATTTCAGTTTGGCAAGTCGCCAAGAACATAGTGTGAGTAGCACCCACGCCGGGGTTCTAATCCTGGCTTTACACTTAAGAGCTCTGTGAGCTTGGGAACCAAGCAGGGTGACCCTGAACCTCAGCTTTGCCACAGGGAAATGAGGACTGTAATCCCAGTCCCATAAAGATGTGGGGAGGATTTCATCAAAGGAATTCATAATAAAATGTCTGGCACATTTTAAGTTTCTAAAAACCTGCAGATGTTACCATTCCCTCCTAGTACTATCATGTTTTATTTGTGCATAGTGACTCATACTCCACAAGGTGCTTTCAGATCTTTTGCCCCATTTGATCCTCAGGCAATGTGATCATTACAAAAGGCAGTAATTACTACCCCCATTTTTCTTTTATCTTTTTTGTAAACAGATGAAAAAACAGGCTCAAAGTCAAAGAGCCCGAAAAGCGGGTGTCTTGTCCAGGGCTCTTTTTGCTCTGTGGCACGGAACTGAACCTCAGAGGACTTCATGTACCATGCCCAGGACAAGAAAACTACATTTATTTTTAAATGCCCTACCATTCCTACGTTAATCAAATCAAACTGGTATTCTCACATTACTTGTAATGATTTAGATTTTGCCTAGGAAAAATGGCAACTAAGGTTTTTTGAGATACTAGGTATCTCAGGCATTGGGCAAGGTGCTTCACTTCCACCATCACAGTTAAACCGTATAACAACCCTATGAAGTAGGTACTGTCATAGTCTCCTGCATGTCCAGGATTGACATGCAGGCAGATTTTCTCCAAACTCCAGTTCCTATGGTCCTAGTGCTGTCCAATTCAAATTTGTCCAGTCGATGATAACACTTTGCAAACTGATTTCCCATATAACAAACCTAGCAACACAGGGAGGCCAGGTTATGAGTGTTCTCTTTTACATTTCAGGAGACTGAGGCTCTGAGAGGTTAAACGACTGACCCAGCCCTGTCCTCACCCAGCAAGGGCACATGGCAGCACTCCCTAACTCCAAATCTCACTGTCTTTGGAAAACCTCACATTTTAAGAGTCAGAAGGTAGAAGTGCTGTCATTGTTGAAAAACAACCATCCACTCAGTGGTCATCACTAAGAGTTGACAGCGAGACCCGCGCTCCAGGCGGTGGAAACGGAGCAGTCTCCGGCTTGGGCCGTGGCCGTTACAGTAGCCAAGTAGGAAGTGGGCGGGGCACTGATTTCAGAGCAGCCCCTAGGGAAGGCAAAGGCACCAGTTCCTGGTTCGGCTCCCAGCCTCCTCCCTCCAGGTCCCCGAACGGGTGGAACCCGAGATCCAGCTGGGTCTTGGGGTTAGGCGGGCGGGATGTCCCCTGTCCCGAGAGGGCGCCGGCTGGGGCGCACTGCAACGAGAGTGCGGGCCGCGCAGGTGTCCCGGGAAGGATCCAAACCCTTGCAACCTTTCCCGGTCACCTGGACACGCAGCGGGGGCGCGGGTCAGACGCCTGCAGTTTCGCAAACTGCCGGTCCCCGGGGATTGCTCCACAGTCCTAGGTCAGGGACCTGGCCCGACTCGCTCTTCTCTCAACCTCGCAGGCCGCGCGTCCTGCCTCAGTTTCCCTCACCTCGGAAGGGGTTGTTAACAGAGGCACGCCCTGACCTACAGGACTTCCTGGAGGCCAGAGCGCGCCCTCCCTGTCAGGACCCCGCAGGACGTGCTAGGACGCGGTGGCAGCTCCCCTACCTGCGCGGTGGCCCACGCCGCCGCCGCCGCCGGCGGCCGGGGCGCCCTGGGGACCCCCACCTGGCATGCGCCCCGCTGCCAGCTCCTCCCGCTCCGCCTGGGCCGCCTCCTGCTCGCTCCCCGAGGGAGCAGCGCGCCGGACGGGAAGTGAGGAGGGGGCTGGCGACGAAGGGGGCGGCTCCTTTCTTCTCCTCAGCGAGGCCGCTGTTTCCTTTCCAGCATTGGCCCCTCGCGCGCGCGCGCGCACACATACACACACACACACACACACACACACACACACACGCAGCTGGGGCGGGCGGGGCCAGCGGCCCTCATAGCCTGTCTCCGGGATCTCAGGACCTCAGAAAGTTTGCTTTCACTCTGACTCATTTCTGGAGGAAACAAGAGGGGAAGTGCAGGAAGCCTCCAGGATGGGGTACAGGAGAGCGCCTTCCAGACGCGTGATTTGAGAAGTGACCACACAGTGATGGAGAAGATGCAGGGATCTGAGGGACTCATTTGTACAAAGTGGGGACAGGGAGGCGGAGTGGGGATGACTGATGACCTTGGAAAGAGATGAGTGGGAGCAGATGTTTAGAAATGAGTTGGGATTCCAACTTCTAGCATCTTCCAGCAGCTCTGGGCTGGTTCCAGGACACAGGAGTCCACGCAAGCTCCTAGGCAACTGACTCATCCCCTTCACCCCTTCTCTTTGGTTCATTCAAGGAAGCTACTGGAGCACCCCCTAGGTAGCACCTGCTATAGGACAATGGGTGCAAGGAAGGGCTACACATGGGCTCTTTGTCATTAAGCAGCTCACCTCCAGGCTAGAAGGAGAGCACGTGCATAGAAAACCAAATCACAACATGAGATAGAATGTGCCATGTGCCAGAGGCTTGGCACAAAACCTCTTGCAGATGGTTCAGGGATAGGAGGGAGAACTGTGAAGAAGAAGAAGAAGAAGAAGAAGGAGAAGGAGAAGGAGAAGGAGAAGGAGAAGGAGAAGGAAAGAGTTGGGGAGATGTTCTGCAGGAATGGGAAGGATCTCCTCAGAACGAGAGGAGTTAGAACTAGAGGAAGGCTGAGGTCCTTCAAAAGCTGAAGATCCTTAAGACTGAAAGCACATCGTTGTGCTTAAAATCAGTGTGTTTGCCCGGCATGGTAGTGCACTCCTGTAGTCCCAGCTACTCGGCAGGCTTAGGTGGGAGGATTGCTTGAGCCCAGGAGTGAGCTATGATGGGGCCACTGCACTCCAGCCCAGGTGACAGAGAGAGACTCCCCACACCCCCACCATGTCTCTAAAAATAAATAAATGTATGAATATCTAAGGCCGGGCACTTTGGGAGGCCAAGGTGGGACATTCACTTGAGTCCAGAAGTTTGAGACCAGCCTGGGCAACATAATAAGACCCTCTTTTTTGTTTAACTTTTATTTTAAGATCAGTTTGTTACATAGGTAAACTTGTGTCATGGGTGTTTGCTGTACAGAGTATTTTGTCACCCAGATATTAAGCCTAGTGTTCATTAGTTGTTTTTCTTGATCATCTCCCTTCTCTGACCCTCCACCCTCCAAAAGGCACCAGTGTGTGCTGTTCCCCTCTGTGTGTCCATGTGTTCTCATCATTTATCTCCCACTTATAAAGTGAGAACATGCTGTGTTTGGTTTTCTCTTCTCGTGTTAGTTTGCTAAGGATAATGGCCTCTGGCTCCATCCATGTCCCTGCAAAGGACATGATCCCATTCTTTTTTATGGCTGCATAGTATCCCATGGTATATATGTACTATATTTTCTTTATCCAGCCTATCACTGATGGGCATTTAGATTGATTCCATATCTTTGCGGTTGTGAATAGTGCTTCAATGAACATGTGTGTGCATGTGTCTTTGTAAAAGAATTATGTATATTCCTTTGTCAAAGGATTGCTGGGTCAAACAGTATTTGTCTTTAGGTCTTTGAGGAATCACCACACTGTCTTCCACAACAGCTGAACTAATTTACACTCCCACCAACAGTGTAAAAGTGTTCCTTTTTCTCCACAACTTCTTCAGCATCTGTTATTTTTTGAGTTGTTAATAATAGCCATTCTAGGCCGGGCACGGTGGCTCACACCTGTAATCCCAGCACTTTGGGAGGCCGAGGTGGGCGGATCACGAGGTCAGGAGATGGAGACCATCCTGGCAAACATGGTGAAACCCCGTCTCTACCGAAAATACAAAAAAATTAGCCGGGCATGGTGGCGGACACCTGTAGTCCCAGCTTCTAGGGAGGCTGAGGTAGGAGAATGGTGTGAACCTGGGAGGCGGCGGAGCTTACAGTGAGCAGATTGTGCCACTGCACTCCAGCCTGGGCGACAGAGCGAGACTCTGTGTCAAAATAATAAGAATAATAATAATGATGATGATGATAGCCATTCTGACTGGTGTTAGATAGTGTTTCATTGTGGTTTTGATTTGCATTTATCAGATAATCAGTGATGTTGAGCTTTTTTTCATGACTGTTGTCCGCGTGTATGTTTTCTTTTGAAAAGTGTCTGTTCATGTTCTTTGCTCACATTTTAATTGGGTTGTTTGGTTTTTTTCTTGTAAATATCAGTTTCTTATAAGATGCTGGATATTAGATCTTTGTTAGAGCACAGTTTGGAAAATTGTTTTCCCATTCTGTAGGTTGTCTGTTTACTCTGTTGATAGTTTCTTTTGCTGTTCAGAAGCTCTTTAGTTTAATTAGATCCCATTTGTCAATTTTTGCTTTTGGCATCTTCGTTATGAAATCTTTGCCCATGCCTATGTCCTGAATGGTATTGCCTAGGTTGTCTCGCAGGGATTTTATAGTTTGGGTTTTACATTTAAGTCTTTAATCCATCTTTAGTTAACTTTGTATAAAGTGTAAGGTAGGAGTCCAGTTTCAATCTTCTGCATATGACTAGCCAGTTATCCCATCACCATTTAGGAAATTCTTTACCCATTGCTTGGCAAAACCCTTTCTATAAAGAAAAAAAATTAATTAGCCAGCACAGTGGCCTGTACCTGTAGTCCCAGCTACTTGGGAGGCTGAAGCAGGAGGATCACTCTAGCTCAGGAGGTTGAGGCTGCAGTGAGCAGTGATTGCACCACTGCCTTCCAGCCTGGGCTAATAAAGTGAGACCCTGTCTCAAAAAAGAGAGAGACAGAGAGAGAGAGACCTTAAATCCTGCCTGAATTTTTAGCCTAGCAGCCTGCCCTTCAAATTTCAAACTTGCTAGACCTTAAAATCAAATGAGTCAATTCCTTAAAATTAATCTTTCTCTTCTCTCTCTCTCGCCTCTTTCTCTATCTTTTTCTTCTCTCTCTCTTTTTCTATCTCTTTCTCCTCTTTCTCTTTATCTCTCTCTGTTTCTCTCTTTCTCCTCTCTCTCCTTCTCTTCTGTCTTCTCTCTCTCTCTCTCTATCTATCTATCTTCTGTCCTCCTCCCACTTGCTCACTCCTTTCTTTGGGTCTTCTCCATTGGTTTCTCCCCTTCTACCCACCCCTTATCTTGGACCTCCCCAGAATTGAATCCATAGCCTGCTTCTTTTCTTGAGCATCTCTCATTCTTGAACTTACTCATCCCTCTCATCCACTTCCAGGATTTCAGGCACCCAATGCAACCTCAATCAGAATCCCTGACTGCAACCTCTCTCCCAAACTCCAGATTCATATTTCCAACTTACAGATTCTGCTAGGTTCTCAAAGTTAATATTGCCAAAATGATTCTCATGGTCCTCTCCAGCACATTCCCAAAACTGCTGCCTTTCCTGTATTAAACTTTTCTTCAAGATAGCTTGACTCTCTTCTTGTATTCCCAGCCAATCCTACATCCCCCGTCACCTTCGTCCCTTTCATTCAGCCATTGGATCCTGTCCTTTCTACCTCGGAACTGTCTTTTGTATCCATTTCCTCCTGTCCATCCTTCACTAGCCGGAAATTAGACTGAGCTTCATTGTATTTCCAACTGCCCCCTGAACAGCACCACTTGGTTGTCTAAGAATCCATTCAAACCAACCGAATTGAACACCATTCCCATTCTTTTCCCCTCAATTCTATACTTTTTTTTTTTTTTTGAGACGGAGTCTCGCTCTGTCGCCCACGCTGGAGTGCAGTGGCCGGATCTCAGCTCACTGTAAGCTCCACCTCCCGGGTTTACGCCATTCTCCTGCCTCAGCCTCCCGAGTAGCTGGGACTACAGGCGCCCGTCACCTCGCCCGGCTAGTTTTTTGTATTTTTTAGTAGAGACGGGGTTTCACCGGGTTAGCCAGGATGGTCTCAATCTCCTGACCTCGTGATCCGCCCGTCTTGGCCTCCCAAAGTGCTGGGATTACAGGCTTGAGCCACCGCGCCCGGCCTATACTTCTAATTGTGTTCCATACCTCCACCACTGGTCCTACCAACCATCTCATTAGCCCTGTGGCATAGTCTGGAAGGCGTCATACTATGTGGTTAGGAGGATACGCTCTGCACTCAGATAAGGGCACCGTATCTGAGCTCCATTACTTCTCAGCTGTGGACCTTGAAAAGTTATTTAACCCTCTGCTAAGTCTCAGTCTGCTCATCTGCAAAGCAAAGGTAACAGTGGTACCATAGAAGGTTGCTGTGAGAGGGTCTGATATATGGTCTAGAGCGGGGCCCAGGCAATGGATTTTTTTAAGTCCTCCAGGTGATTCTAAAGTACAGTGAAGGTTTGGACTCCCTTCTGTGGCGGTAGTATGGACAGATTTGTGGTAGAGGCAGAAAGACTGATTAGGAAACAGGTAGGAGTTCCAGGTAAGAGACCATAAGCATTTGTAATGAGGATGGAGAAGATATGACTGGCTGAGCGCGGTGGCTCACACCTGTAATCCCAGCACTTTGGGAAGCCAATACGAGTGGAACACTTGAGTCTAGGAGTTCAAGACGAGTCTGGGTGACATGGTGAAACCCCATCTCTACAAAAAAAAAATTAGTTGGGTATGGTGGCATGCACCTGTATTTCCAGCTACTTGGGGGCTGAGGCAGGAGGATCACTTGAGTCTGGGAGGTTGAGGCTGCAGTAAGCCATTTTCATGTCGATGCACTCCAGCCTGTATGACAAAGTAAGACCTTGTGTCAAAATGAGAGGAGAGAGAGTGAGAGAGAAAGAGAGAAAATGGGGCCGTATTCAAGAAACACTTAGGAAGTAAAATTATATGAAACTCGGTAACTAGATGTTGAGGGTAATTGAGAGGAAAGCATCTAAGATG